ACCCGAACGGGTATGGGCATGGTTTTAATTTTCTATCCGTTTCACATGTGGGTATGGATATGGGTAAAACCCGAACTACTTTGAGTAGGATAACGGATATGCACTATCCGTTCGCGACCCAAACCATTGCCATCCCTACAATGAACTGCAACGATCTATCGTAGTTGTATCCTGCGTAAGTGTAATTTAATCCTTTTATCCATACATGCAATCTCCAACTTAACTTCCAAGCAACGTTTACGTTGGCATACTTGGATCGGATCCTATCTATCTGCCTTGTAGTAATTCCCAACTTGACTTGTTGCTTGATAAAATTCTTAACGTGAGAAATCTGTCTTTCCTAGCTCCTAAATGTTTCCGAACAATAATTATGTCTTCAACATAGGCCATCAGCCCATCAATATTCAATAACAATCAACTTGTGCGAATAATTCACCATCATTATTCAAATGTCTTGAGATGGAAATTAATGACCCAAAACAATAAAAAATATATATATATATATATATATATATATATATATATATATATATATATATATTCAAGACAAGCCGAAAGTACGTAGTGCAGAAGCCCAATTACAGAATTGATTGCAACTACGCTTGGTACTCTGTGTGTAATCATCAGACTATCGAATATGACTAAACCAAAAAAACAAAGCGGAAAATATCCATTTTAAATAGTTAATCCCTTCTCTTCCGGCAAACACACATGGTTGGCTTAACTTCTCTAGATTTTACCGCGTGAAAAGGGAAGAAAAATAGATGAGGACTGGACAAACCCTACCAGACTACCAGTCCTCCTGCTACATCTAGACCAGATGTGGGCCGGACTTCTATCACCCTAATTCAACAATCGTACTATCATCTCCGGGACAACGGCAACAGGCCCGGAGGCAAACACCACGGGCCCAGTCCAGACGACAGCAAGATCCGATCAAATCGGAACTGGGCCCACGCACGCCTCACTCGTAATTATCCACTACTCGCGGCGCAGGGAAACATTACTCCAAATCAGATCCAACGGTAGTAATTTATGATCGGCCCCTCACAAATAAGCATAGTTTGAATGTTACAATACATAATTAGTAGTTTGGATAAATCCATTGAAAAACGAAATAATTTGACCAATTGTCTTATTTTACAATGAGTCATTTAAAATGAGTCAATTCGAATTGTCTACCCCACCCCAGACTATTGTAATTGGCTCAAAACTAGTCGATTTGAAATTCCTCGCACAGAATTGTTTCATTTAAATTTCATGCTAGATTTTAGGGTAAATACAATTTAATATCCAAACCTTTCATTTTAAACAATATAATAGCCAAACCTTTTCGAAAACAATATAATATCCAAATCGTCAACTTTCCGTTCGTTTGACCGTTAGTTGACACTTCAAAAAAGTTCGAAGTACGACGCTTCATCAATATCCATCGATATATTCTCTGAAAAACCACCAACATATCGTGGTTCCAAACACGAGAAGTCCATGACTCCACCATGATGGTATAGAATATCTAAATATTCAGTCATCTCCAATGCCAAAACAAGAAAACAAAGTTGTATTGTGATAATTTCCCCTAAACAAAGCTTTTTTGAAGTGTCAACCAACGGTCAAACGGACGAAAAGTTGACAATTTGGATATTAGATTGTTTTCGAAAAGGTTTGGTTATTATATTGTTTAAAATGAAAGGTTTGGATATTAAATTGTATTTACCCTAGATTTTATGTTGTCAAATGGATCAATTTAGCCAAATTATCTTAAAACGAAACAATTGAGTCAAATTGATCAGTTAAAATTACTCATCCAAACGACCCCTAAGTCATACGACGGAATTCTTATTCAACTGCCACTTGCCAAGCACGCCAAGTTTAATTTAGCTCATAGAACTACGGATGAATATACAAATCCTCATACAACTTATGAGAGCCTTGATTCATTAAGGTATTGCCAACCCTTTTCATTCTTTGAGGAGGTGGATATGATTTATATAGGTTACATTTATCCAACTATGAAGGCACATTGAAGTGGAAGAGCCAAGAAATCACAAACGCAAACACCATACAAGCCAGGAGGAAGTTGAGGAACCGATGCCCCTGCCAGAAATGTCTACCTGCGTCTGCTGCTGCTGCTGCCGATGCCGCCACCGCATCAATGCCCTCATTCCATTGCTCCACCACCGTCTCCTCCTCCGTCGCTCCGGCCACGTTCCGTGCTACCGATCCACATATCTCGCAGGTTCTGCAGTAACACAAAGAACCAAATTAGCAAGCAGAGCTCACTTCACAACTTAAGGCTCTTTGGGTACTCCTGCAGTTAGATCTGATATTCAAGCACAAATTGAAATTGCAGCACACTTTCTTTTTAATCGCCATAAACCCAAGAACTTACTAGTAAAAGAAATGACAATTTAACACCAAGGATGCAACTACTGGTCAAATTGAATCTATTTGGAGCAAACCCCACAAACCCAAAAGCCAGCCACAAAATTGGGTAAAGTGCTAAAAAGGGTAATTGAAAGTAATAAAGTGGGAGCATGAATATTGCATACTTGTTACCCTTGATCTTGAACCAAGCCTCAGCACAATGCTTGTGTGCAGCAGCCAAATCGTCTTTACAAGAGCAACCAAGGTCAATCGGGAAGCCAGAGTCCTCTTCCCCTGCATCCAAACCCAGATGACAAATCCTGCAATCCCTCTCCTCCACATTATCACCCAAATGCAGCTGCTTCCCCTCATCATCAATCTCAAGCCCAAGCTCCAGATCCACATCCTCCGATGACGAAGATGAAGTTCCCCTCCTCCTACCCGCCTTCACAATCCCATCGCCAGAGTCACTGCTGCAGCTCTTCTCCTGCTCTGTTTCTTCTTCTTCATCTTCCTCCTCGCCGAGAGAATGGTCGCCGCCACTGTTTTCTGCTTGTTGCTGTGGTTGTGGTGGTTCATCGTCGGTGGATGCAATCAGGGGTTTGTGGGAACTGGAAGCAGCATCCATTGGAATAAGAGTGGGATGGGCGAGACTTCATGTATTGAGGAGAGGGGAAAGGAAGAGGGGGGAGATCATCAATCAATGCTCCCCTCTTCTTCTTCTTCTCAGAGAACAGAGAGTTGGTTGTTGTTCTTATAGATGAAACTTAAAAGCAAAATGGGGTGAAGTGAAACGATACCAAGTTATGATTTTCCTTCCTCTGCTACTGTACAGAGACCTGCTACTTACTCTTTCTCTCCCTCTGTGTCAGTGAAGATTGCAGAAAGAGCAGAACTTGGCAGCGGAGGAAGGGAAACGGGGAGAGAGAGATTCGTGAAACGAGAGCCGAATAGTTAATTACAGGGACAAGGAGTGGGGGGAAAGATAATGATATGAGAAATGGAGGTGTTTGTTTTCTTCTTGTTTCGTGACAAGTTTTATTTTATACTTTGATTTAGGGGAATTCTGGAGGTTGATTGAACTGAGATGCATGTTTCATGTGGTCTTAGTTTCATAAAGATATATACACATACATACTTCCAAAATTTCAGAAAGTGGAGTGCACAAAAAAAAAAAAAAAACTGTTTTACAAAGTCCGTGTGCGATGCATTCGGATTGTGCATTGATGGTGTCGAAGTGGAGAAAAACGAAATCCTGATGAAAACAGAAGACAAGAGAGCATGTAACACCTTCGCGGCCCTCTAACTAGCTTGCTTTCAAGAGCATCGGTCGAAAGAAGGTAACCCGACAATACTACATATGAGATGTTAATGCTGGTTGCATGTCGCAAAATGGTATGGACATCTACAAAACGTGTATCCGACTGTTTAGCTAAACTTAGCTTAGAATTTGTGTATATCTCTTACGTTGCCAACCAATCATACGTTTATAAAACAACTCCAATGCGAGAGACGTAATCCTTTGTTATTAAATATTTATTCCTTCACTCACTAGTTTAAGGAACTCTACCGATTGTTTACTAGTTTTCAGCTTTGATACTCCAGGAAAAAGGAAGAAAAATGACGAAGGAATGAAGCCAAGTAAAAAGATGAGAAGTAAGCTTCTCATTTTGTAAAGTTGCAAACAATTGCTATCTTCCCACAGACAGCAAAGGTAAAATTTTAGGTATCGAAAGGCAAGTTTCCCATTAGCTCTCTTTTCGCTTTGCTTTTGCAGTTGCTGGCTTGCTGCTGTCCTTTTGTCATTTGCATCACGAACCTATGCCGCTATGCGGCTGTACCGTCGCGCTCTTAACTCGGAAACTCGCCCATGATTGTTGACCAAACTCGGTCCACTTTTATGCTAGTCAAAACCCAGTTTTACCCTCTTCAACCTCCGGCAATCCCAAGCCCAGTTAATGAATTATGCCTCTCCAGGCAAGGGTAGATTAGACTTTGTGAGAAGATAGAGAATGGGAAAGAAAAAGGTACTGCAGATACATGAGCAGCAGCTGCCTCATCATTGTTCATAAAATGCAATGCTGCTTTCCTGCTTTATTTCTCCTATCAGAGATGGCCTATGTCAGGAAGCTAACTCAGCATCTTTTTAATTCTCTGCAATTTTGTGAATTTGGTGACAGCATTTGCTTAATTATATCTAAAAATCTCAAGAGGTTAAATTTTGAAGCTTCAAAGCTACCAACACAAATCCGCATTGCAGATATGACTAAGGCCGTAGAAGTGACCTCGTAAACGTGCACAAAACCACTCGAAATGATGATCAAATGGACTTACAGAACATCCAAAACCGTCATCCGTGGGAGGTGAATGCAGCCAGGCACCTCGAACACGACTGTGCTCGATCTGCACGACAGCCAACTTGGCTGCAAAGTCGAAGAAGGCGAATGAAAATGGAGCAGCAACAAAGTTTCGTGCGGCTTCGAGCACATCCAAGCACAGGCCTGTGGAACCATCAAGACTGCCAAACACGAACAAGTCTCCTGTCGTGCCATCTTACCTGATCCGCATTTGAGACCAACCCCGGATGAAAGATGAACATACACACATTATCGTGTTTCACAAGGCGGAACAAATTCGCAAAAATAAACATCTCAATCAAACACCGCCCACATCAGGAAAACTGTTAAGGTACAAACAAGATAATCACGATTCCAGGAAGTTTTCTCTGTGCATGGTTATGAAACATCTAACTTATCCGAGTTTTCAAACGTCCCTAACTTGGGAGAAGCTATAGACAAGGTTCACTGCTTAGTAAAAGCCTAAAGCAACCCCCCTTGCAGTTACCATCAGTAACATATCTGGGACTCTAAAAGCCAATTTTAGGAAGATACATGTGCCTCTGTTCGAAAAAATAATCATATGAAGTAAACGGTAGTACCGGCCATGATGAAAGACTCTGTACTTTTCCTCCCCGAGAAGGGATATCTCAGAATACGAACATTTAGCTGCATGGTTTACTAGCTCAAGCTTTCGACTTCAGCTCTCATTGCTAAAGGTCTAGCAGGCATATAGTTCGACATATGATCTGCCATCGTTCCGACAAACTTGGTTTGACCGTCCATATGGCCATGTCTGAAGTTCTGTTCAGGAATTCCCATTTGTGAAGCCAACACTGGTGCTTGAGGGGTGATAGGGCTTGCAGCAGCACTGCCTGGTAAGGAACTGTTATTACTGTTCTCAATCCCACTTTTTATCCAAGCTATGTTGTTCAAATCTGTGGCGATCGAGATTAGCTCATGACTTGAGAAAGAGGGGAGTGATGAGTCTTCATAGTCGACAAACTCGGGTCCCAATAGCGAGCTCCCAGACTGGCTACCACCACTTGGTGTTGAGCAGCAACCAAACCCACATTTTGAAGGAACCATCGGCTCGCTGCAAATACCTTCAAGTAACTTTCCAATTCCAAAGTCGGATTTTGAAGCTTGGATTAAAGGTTCTTGGTCTGGAATTTGTCGTGTGCGACAGGCTGGGCTGCTGGCTTTTCGGCCATTGGGAGGAACGTAAACACTGAATGCACTGACTCTTGCGACAGGACGAGGAAGGCTAGGAGGCTGTTCCTGGGGTATGACGGCAGCATAGTGAACTACATCCTGCGTTTTACAAATCTCCTTATCCATCTGGGTTCTTTCTTCCATTGCAACATCTCTTTGTTCAATGGGCTTTAGTGAATTACCTTCACCAACTGAAGGAGTCTCTTCTGAAGATGATGTCTTTGCTCTGTCATAGCTACCATTTTCCATCAACATCCCGTTGATAGCTGCACGTTTGAATGTTGGTAGCTCAGAATATCTGCGCCTTAGAGTTGAATTCCAGTGGTTCTTAATTGCATTATCGGTTCTACCAGGGAGCAGTTTTGCGATTACTGCCCACTTGTTTCCGTGGACAGCATGAGCTGAAATGATGATACTGTCTTCTTCATCTGCAATGTTGTAATACAAAATAGAGTCATAAGCCATATGATAGCATATTAAGCAAAAACAGTTGAGAATGAACAACTGATCAAAGGGGAATTTGTCCGATTATTGTGATAGGGCTCATCAAAGGTTTCCATGTCTTATCACCACAAGCGTAGAGCACTATCAAGAGATTAGAAGCAGCAGAAGGCAATGTGTACATTAATTAGGGCCCATCCAGGGAGGACTTCTCCGTGATGGACAGAATCTAATACATCTTGAAGAGTATAATTATATAAACATACATCTCTGATTTCTTTAAACCAATGAACTGGAATTGATTCAAGAACCATCTCTCTAATGCGTACTCGCTTGGATCTCTTCAATAACGAGGATGACAATCAGATGCAACACAAGCAGTTGTGCCATCCAGCATGCAGCCACAATGTCACAACAGTACAATGAAGGTAACTAAGCATGACATATGAAGCATCAAGATATGCTCTAAGGTCAGAGATAGCAAACAAACAGTACCATAACACTATCAAAAAAGAAATATGCTATATTATCGAAGAAACCATGCTTGAACTTGAGAAACATTATTTCGCTTTAAATCTGCCGTTCCCACATCTATAGCACCTTCACAGGTACCTGATCCGTCATCTTCTTCAGTCAATACATTGCTGACTCCACAAGCTAAATATAGGACAAGATGCATAACCTCCAATACGTGCCCCCTTATAAAGGATTTGAAGACTAAAGTCATTATCAGTCACCATGAAAATAACTAACATAAACGTGACTACCGAGTCAGCTTCTGGGTTCTTCTTTCTCTAGAAGTTCAGCTGGACACACGCTCAAGTCTACACATGGTTGAAACACATTCATAACTAGTCAATGGAAGATAGCCGAAGAGGAGTGATGATTGAAGACCACTAAAATCAGCTGATCTTAACTTGTTATCCGCCTAAAAAAAACTCAGCCTCAGCATCAAACCCACTAAGAAACCCATCTCAACAACACAATTCATGAATGATCTCCAAACAATGGTGATCCAAATCATTTCCGCAAAACTAAGAGGCAAGCTGAAACTATCAAACAGTTCAACACCCCGAAGAAAACCCCCCCACAATCAAGAAAAACAAGCGAAAGGGATATCGCACAAGCAAGATCGAAAGAGCAAAAGCCCTTTGAGAAAACCTAAAACCCCTTCTGGCTGGAAAATGCAAGGCAGAGACAGAGAGCGGCAGCGAGATTTAGGAGCAGAAAAAAACTTACCAGTGAAAGGCTTCCGTTTCAAACAAGGGTCAAGCTGGTTACACCAACGAAGCCTGCAAGATTTACCGGACCGGCCTGGAATCCCCCGAGCGATCAAGCTCCAATTCCTTGCCCCGAACTTGCTCACCAACTTACCTAGCACCTCGTCTTGCTCCGGCGACCAGGGTCCCTTCACCCTACTGTTCACCACCACTCCCCCGCTTCCACCTCCGCCGCCGGAGTCCCCGCCACCACCCGCAACGTCTGACGACCCACCACCTCCACCGTCACCAGTTGCGGGAGACGATTCCACCACGTTCCCGGTCTCCTCCTCCTCCTGCGCCGCTGCCATCGCTTCATCACCACCGTCTCGGCTCCCCATTCTCTCTCTCTCTCTCTCCTCTCTCTCTCTACTGGTTTTGAATTTTGGTTTTCCTTGTACCTACCTTTCTAACTGCAAATGGGGCAGAGAGAGAGTTTATTGGGCTGATGTTTCGGGTTTATGATTCCCCATTTCCAGGTTACTGTAAAGGCGGTTTCGTTAACAAAATTACCTTCCTGCCCATGAAGCCGGCATCGTTTCGCGCCGCTTTTTTGCCTTTGGCTATCATGATAGCATCGATTTGACCAACCGTTGACTTCGAGCGATGGATTGTGGAGGAGGACGGTGTTGAGTTTACGATTTTGGCCCTGACAGCTGGTAATGTGGCATTTTTTTTTTTTTTGTCATAGGTAGTGGTAATGTGGCATTGCATTCTGTTATTTGGTGGGACCCAGACGGGCGGCGGTTTTAGCATCCCGCTTTCCGACCTAAAAAACAAAATTCAGTTCATCACGGATCTGGTCCAGCCCGCTAGCAGTAGGCCCATATCCCTTGTCCGGCCCAAACGATTTCTTCCTCTCCTCAAGAGGCCCAGTATTCTTTTCTCGTCGGCCACCCGCCTCCAGAATCCAGGCACAGGCAGCCGAGCCAGAGCCCAGAAGTGTGATAAAGCCATGATCCTCCGAGCTCAATAAAAAAGGCGGCCCAGCTTCTTACGGGTCTGATCTTTTCGGCCTTTTTTTAATATTTTTTTATATCCTTTGCTCAGATGACGAACGATATATTAATTTGTTCAAAGTTTTTTTTAGGGGTTTGGAGGTTGTGATTTCAAGCAATGTATTTAGGGGTCGTTTGCAAGTTGCGTATGTTAAATCGTTGTATTGTGAAGAATCATTGCAATATATAATACATGTATTGATACAATCGTTGCATTTAATATACAGTGTTTGGTTGTTGAGTTTATAGGTTAGTGATTCACTTATATAAAGTTACTTTTTGGTAAAAAAATATCACATTTACCCTTTATTTTAACATACATCATATAACTCTTTCCCCCTTTACTAAGGATATAAATAGAAATAAAAATGAGATATAAACCTAAAAGCAACAATCACAACAATCTCAACTAAAAGTTGAGATTGTATAATACTTCATTTTTTGTGATTGTAGGTGGGACCCACACAAAACAATACATGCATTGTTCATAATTTGACAATTCCAAACATTATATTGTGGACAATGCATGTATTCTATAAATACAACACTCACAATCGCAACTTCCAAACAACACCTCAGCCAATGCATGTAATGTCAAGATTAAGTCGTTTTTTTGTGTTAAATTTGTGGCAAAATACATGTATAATTTTTTCTGGGCCCACCAACAATCACTTAAAATGAGTGATTATCAATCTCTATCAAAATGTGAGATTGTGACCAAAGGATTGTCTACCCTCTATTTTTTTCATTTATAACAAAGCACAATGTAAACCTCCAAACAATGTATTTTTCAAATTCATACATTTCATCAATACATCAAATGACAATACACAAATTGATTAAATACTTCAATTTGGAGAATCCCAACCTCCAAACAACTCCTTAGTACCTACCTACAGAATGATTCAAGCTTCCAAAATTATTAGGGTTGACTTCATATTGAAATTATGGTGTTTCACTATGATTTCTACTTTTGGTCTTTTCATAATTCATAAGGGCCTCCCTCCAACAATCTATACCCTAAAAACTTAAATATTAAAGTGACAAAAAATAGAGTTATCCTATTATCATAGTTGATTCATTTTCTTAGAATTATCCTATTAATTCATCACTTTATATATCATAAAAAAATAGAGTAGGATTTAGTCATAAAAAAATATCGTTAAAACAGAATATATAAAGGAAGAAAATACAAGATAGAGTACAGATCGACATAACATAATCAATGAAATAGAATACCAGATACACATGAAATCAAGACATATATAGAATCAGGTTCCTATCATACTCTAGCTAGGAACATTTCCAAGTCAAGTGAGACCAAATTGATCAAAAGGAATCCAAATGCTCCTCTTACTACTTCCAGGAAGTAACAGACACAAAAACACAAGAACAAAGATGGCTGGAGGAACATTTACTAAGGTTAGGGTGCTCAATGCCATGTGCTTGGACACCAACCCCACCAATCCATACCTCCTATTTTCGTGAGAGAAAAGCTAATGAGTAAAGGTGTTGGTTGGTTGTGGTCACATTTAGGAATGGCAATGGGGCAGGTCCGGGGCGGGTTTCTTGGTACCCAGACCCGCCCCATGGCAGGGCGGGTCCAGGTCGGGTAATTGATCACGGGTCACGGGTCGGGGCAGGTCGACCCAATGGGTATGCAATTTATATGAAAAACATTAGAAATATTCGTTATTTTTATTATAAAACTAAGAAAACAAACAATATTATGACAATGGTAGTTAAATTATTGGAGAAATTGAGGTTTTCACTAATTTACAACTTTATTATAGCTAAAATATGATGCAATAAAAGGAAAATTCAAAGTAATTTGACTAAGATTTCATGTAATTTAGATAAGAACGGGTCAAGAATGGGGCGGGTCGGGGCAGGTCGGGTCGATAAGACTACCCATGCCCGCCCCGCCCCGCCTACGGGGCGGGTCGTACCCGCCCCAAAACAGGTCAAACAGGTCGGGTAAAACGGGCCAGGTCGAAATTGACATCCCTAGTCACATTCCCAATTTGGCAACACAAATATGAACTAGACATATTCATACCTACCTTGTCTCACTCATATTTGCCACTCCACTAGCTACCAGATACTGGCTTAGTTAGTTTATATCACCAAGGCCTTTCTTCAAAAAGATTGGTGGGAAGATATCGTATTGATTCAAACAAGTCATGGCCGGTGCGTTCTGATCCTCATAAATCTTGTCAGTGTCCCTTTACCCATTTTTCCTCAGAAAGATGCCTAATATCCAGCTAATTTGGTTGCGTTTTGGGTCAAAAAAATAGTAACGACCAGCCTTTAGCTAAGCAAATTTCGGCATCTGACATAGTATTTGAATTGGTTATTGGTCTCATTCATGAGAAAACCTAATCAATTAACAATATATTGTGTTACAAAAAATGGATATCTATCATCATCAGCATTTACAATGTTTATGATATGAACGCTTTAAATTTTAGGCTTAGTACATAGTAGTTGGATACAAGTAGGACATCACTTCTTAAATTCAGTCCAAAAAATCTTCTCCGGCTAGCCTCTTATTTTTAAAAGAAAAAAAAATCAAGAGCAAATCTTGTTTACACAGTAAAATAAGGGGCTAAATTTCACATTTGGTCATTCAAATTACATATAACCACCAACTTTTCACGTTCGCCACCCGAATTACTTTTCTTTCATATTCACCACCAACTTTATGATTCGTTTCACCGTTAGTCTCCGTTAACTCCGTTAATTTTTTGATGACGTGGCAAACAGAACAGCTGACTGGACCGTTAAAGAATGACATGTCAATATAAAAAATTAAAAACCCCCTTTTCCCTTCCATTTCCATACTCTCACTCATCTTCAACCCTTACCTTCTTTACAGCACCCGCCGCCGCTCAAAGTTATCCCCTTGCTCTATTCCTATCTAGAAACCGAATCCAATATAGTCGATATAATTTAAGGATTGAATTCAGTTAGTTCTTTGGGGTGGATGCAGGGACATTTTCAAAATGGTGGGTTGCAGGTTCTCATCGTTGTCGTTACCATCTCCGACTTCTTCATCTCTAATTGAATAGCAAACAACCACAATACGATACTACTACCCTATATATTGATTTCTTTTTCAAATTTTGTTTTGCCCTTTCACTTCTTCTGTTGCTCCGCACAGCAACTCTGAAATCCCCCCTTCCATTTGTCATATATATGGGACACCGAGCTCATTCCCACGCCCACCACCACAACACCAGCGATGGCGACGCGCAGCGAGTCAATAGCCCCCGCTTCACGGGCTCCATGACCCTCCGAGCTACTTCCTTCAAGCGCAACCCACCACCAGCACCAACGCCGCCTCCTCTGCTGCTTCCTCCTCTGCCGCCTCTGCCGATAATGCGACGGCCCCGCGAGCAAGGTCGCCGGTAGCGCTGCGCAGACAGCTAGCAACAGCACGACCGACAGCGCTGGGCCAGTTCTAGGTTCGGCTTCAGAGGTTTCCAGATCACCTGGCCTAGATCCGAAGTCGTCATCGTCGATGGCTTCGATCGCCAGCAGCTCGTCTAGAGAGTTCACTCCAGGGTCGCCAGAAGTAGTCGGAAGGGTGGCAGGAGAAGCGAATCCGTCGTCCGGGATTTCGACTTCCGGGAAGATAACCTTGAGCGGCTGCTGCTGTAGGAAGGGAAGGGTTGAAGATGAGTGAGACAGCGCGGAAGGGGGAAAAAGGACATTTATTTTTTATTTTTTAAATTGACATGTCATTATTTAACGGTCCAGTTAGCTGTTTCGTTTGCCATGTCATAAAAAACTGACGGAGTTAACGGAGTCTGATGAAGTCTGATAGCCGGTGACTAATGGTGAAATGAATCGTAAAGTTGGTGGTGAATATGAAAGAAAAGTAATTCGGGTGGCAAACGTGAAAAATTTATATAATTTGAGTGACTAAACGTGTAATTTAGTCGTAAAATAAAATAAAAACTTTGTTGTATGATCAAGAATCGCATACATATAGGATTATAGGGAGACCATAAAATTGAAGATGAAGTCTGAGTAAAACATATTGTCGCAAGGGGTTCGTCGGGGGTCGCGTTCGCTCTATGGGAGTCGCTATCTGTCGCAACCGTCCCTCCAGGGTTCGTCGGGGGTTGCGTTCGCTCTATGAGAGTCGCCATCGATCTTATTTGGGGTGGATCAAACACTCTTTGGGTCGGGTCTACCTTAGGGTCAGAACCGAGATTTGGTCTGCGGTTAAGAGATTCGGGTTCGGGAGTACGGTTACATGTGGGGAAGTGAAATCACACCCCACAAAGCCCTAAATCGGTACTACTTAAATTTGATAAATTTTATATTAGTTGGGTGTATTTTTAGTAATATTTTTGTAATTTTAAGGTCCCACTGGACCATTAAATAATTTTATCGCATTAGTTTAAGATTTAATTATACGCCCCGTGACGTAATATTTA